TCCCTTCCGACCCTAGAAACTATGAAACTATGAAACCTTCCCCCCACTTTTCTTTCATTAGGGTCTTCCTTTCATGCCTGAGCTTTGGTGTTACCTGCACTGTTAATTGCCCTAAGCCTGGCTGTATCTCAGTGGCAGGTAGCTGCGAAGAAGGTTTCTAGAGAAGAGCTAGCCTACCTTTAGTGATGGGCTGATAGTCATGCTTGGCTCTTTCTCAGTGCCCTCTGTCAATATTTTTATTTCACAATGAGGGTGTTTGATTCCTGGCCATCTGACACGTTCTGTCTTCATGTGCACCACTGAAAAAACATGCTCATGAAACACCCCAGTATCAAACCATTGCAGTTCCAGGCCCACGTGGCACTTACGTCATGGTCAGTGACAGGTGACATAACAGCCCCTCATATCTAATCTAACAGGTAAGTAGTACCTGACCAGGAGAGCATTTTACCCCCCACTTTGTGCAGAGGTAAATCCATGCAGGGTTCGAGTTTTGGGAAAGCAAGATGCACCTTCTCTGGGTTGATGCCTTGCCTCTCCCCTTCTTACTTATTATTTGAAAGGTGTCTTGAAACTGAATAAAATTCAACTCAAGTATTTTTCCCATGGCTCTTCCTCAGCTCCCCGAGGGTCTGCTCCTGCGCTCTGTACCTCCAGGCTGCTGACACACAATCACAAATGTCCTGGTGAATCAAAAGGAATTAGCCTGTAATTTCCTGTGGGGTAGCATTATCTGGAAATGGGGTAGGGCAATGGGACATTTCTACCACTCCAGTCACAACCCTGATCAATTTATTTCTAAATAAGTCCTGTGGTCGATGAGGGAAGCCGGGAAACACCAGCCAAGTAAATGAACTCCTGTATAAATGCTTTCTCTTCTCTGTTTTGATATGGCACAGCAGTCCACCTTTAATATGATGTATCAGCACTATATTAAAGCAAGCTACTACTCTGTATTAATCATTTCTGCTGTGCATTAAACCTGGTCACCGTGCATTAATCATTGATGCTGTGTATTAAGCATAGATGCTTTTGCAGTAAAACCTGTTGGAAAACAAAAGGAAGGAAAATGGGAAATTGCATTCTGCAAATAAGTTTAAAAGTAACCTTCATCTGGCCATATTAACCTTAACAGAGAGCTTGGAAACCTTGACATCACTTTGTTGTGGTATCTTTATTCCCTAACCGGTCCTGCTTCGTCAAGGCCCCTGAGAGGTTTGATAATTGTGATTCTCCTGGACATTTCATGTTAGAGCCAGCCAGGGTATATATAAGTCTAGAGTCCCCTGTGAAACCATTTCACTTGGTCCTCTGATAATAATACAGACAGGCTGTCAAACCTATGGCTGCTGTTTTCCAGGTCAGACTGGAAAAGGTAGCCATCCAAAGATGATGACTAGAATAACCTAGTCAAATTTGGTGGATGTCAGATTTGCCTGTATAGTCTCAGAAGGGAGGGTGAAAGGCTAATAAGGAGATTTGCATCTTTTAAACCAGGCTTGTCCAACATACAGCCCGCGGGCCACCATGCGGCCCTCCAAACTGTTTTCTGAGGCCCAAGGTGCTGCGAAGAAAATAAACATTGTACTTTAGTTTTGGGGGGGGATGATGTGATACCGCTTCCTGTGAGGTCTTTGAATATGGCTCGCCGGCCCACTGGGTGATTAAAAAGTTCATGATCTGGCCCCACATTCAAAAAGGTTGGACACCCTGTTTTAAACCAATCCTCCCAACAGTTGGGATGATTTTTTTTTGGATGTGGTGTTAGTAGCCATTGTCACCTTCAAGCTGTATATTAAGCTGCCTGCAGTGGAAGTTTATCAAGTTTAATATTACCAGGTGGGTAGATTGCAAGCTTAGCTTAAGTACCTGATAGTGTGAGATCAGACTGCAAGCCCTGTGGATAGTGACTCTTAAATTCATTAACTTGATAGCACCTATTACTTCAGGTCTCTGGGTTTCTTAGAGACTGCCACAATAAAAGAATACCTTGATTTTTTTAATTTTATTTTTTATTATTTTCATATGCTCAATATTTAGTCTGCTGAATTCAGGATCTGGGGCTGGTGATTTGGTATAGGATGCCCACATTTTCCCTTCTCTATAATGGCAATGCGAGTCTCCTAAGGTTCACAAAGCCCTAAGGGAGAGATCTGACACTAGGGTAAAATATTTTTTCTCTGAGTTCACTTGTGAGCCTCAGGCCCCAACTTTGCAAGCACTTTCACTTCCTCTGCATGACTGAATTCAAGATAAGCATGTGCAGGAGTGACTGGGAAGTGTTGGTGTTTCTGGAGTGGAGAACCTGCTGCTTTGAAAATATTAAGATAAAATATAAGTTCTGTCTGGCAAACTATTCGGCTATGATTATATTGACTGCTTGATTGGGGAAGGCTTTATGTTCACTGAGGAACATGTGAAATTTTAGCATGTTTTGTTGAGTGACCGCAAAAAAACGAAGCAGCTTTTAAGCCATGAAGGTGATTGTCAAATATTTGCTTTCCTGTACAAAATTCTTTGTAGAAGTGGACCCTTAAGTAAACAATGACAAATCTGAATGGAGGCAGAGAGAACCTGCTGCAAAATCCACTGTGGGCAATCTCCATGCAGATCTCATTTTCCTGTTCATTGCGTCACCTAGCTACAGCACAGCACTTCAACATGTAATTAATGGTGAGCACAGGGATAATCCCAACTCCTTTTAGCAAAGCATTTAAGGGTCTGCTTAAAACTTCTCTAATCTTGCGGTAGCTATTCGAGTCCCTAAGGAAATCTTTAGGTTTCCAGGACTTTCTAACCAGGCCTCTTGCAGCAGGAAGGAGAGGGCATGAGTGTCCGTGTTACATCACTGTATTACCCAAGGATTCCCTTTTACAGGCACTGAAACCATTGTATTTAGAGGTGCCTTATGCTATTGCAATGATCCAAAATGTCCACAAGTTTGTCCAAGTAGCAAGATGCTGCCTGTCATTCTCGTACCTGGTGATTTTCCTTGATAGATTGGAGCAGTATCCAGTAGACTTTTGCTGTCCATCTTGAGCTTTCATAACCCTGTCTGGTTTTTGCATGTGATATTCCCTGCTACTGTGCAAATTAGTAAACATTAGGTGAGGTGCTTATGCGTCTTGCCCTGGCAATGAGAGCACTTTCAGAAAACAGAGTAGCTCACAGGGCTAGCTGCATAAACGCTATGTTGCTGTGATCTGTACAATAGGGCCGTGCGAAATTTTGCGGGGTGTTTCATTTCGAAGCTGTTCTGACACGTTTCGAGCTCCAAACAGTGGAATCAAAACAAAATAAAAGGCTTCAAAACCACGTCGAAATGAAACGAGGGCACTCGAAACGCTTTGAAAGTTTCAAGTTTCAAATCCAGAGTTACTTGTCTTCAATGCTGGTCCCAGGCGGCGGCAGCAGCCTGCTCTCATCCAGCGCACAGATGCGGGGGCCTGCACCCTTGGGAGGAGGCTGACACAGCCCCACACCCCTCCCAGAGGTGCAGGCCCCTGGATCTGCCTGTTGGATGAGAGGCAGCTGCCGCTGCCGGCAAGTCTCAGGAGTTGTGTTTTGAAGAGTTTGAGGTGCAGTTGCCCTGAAACCTTTGCACCCATCTCCTTGAATCTTGGCAGGCTTCATGCTCTCAGAAGGGGCTACCATCCCTGCAATTTTCAGCAAGAAATGACAAACCTTTAGGCATTTTCATGATTACCCATTATAGCCTATGGGCGAAACATCAAAACGTGTTGAAACAGCAAAATAGTTTCAATGAAATGAAACGGGACAATGCTTCGAAACTAAATGACACGACAGAACAAAACCCTGTCCCATCCAAATGGTGGGGCAGACATCTAAACGAAACAGTGGTGTTTGGCACAGCCCTGCTATACAGCATCTGCAAACAAACATTAATAGCTTTGCCAAAGAACGACAGCATGCTCTGCTGGGAGTGACTCAGTTTAAGGGTGCATCACAATTAGTGGATGGGATGGGCTATAGGACTTTTGAACTCCTGGTAGAAAGATTATGCAATTCTTCATAGCTTATGACCACAAGCTCCCAGCTGGGTAGTAACTTGTTGCAGTATTTATGGTAGGAACAGAGTAGAAAGAATCATGTTGTTAGCTCCTTTCTAGCCATTAAACTTCATAACCCACCCCCCCATCCCTCCCAACAACTACCCTTTGCTAATTGATATTGAAATTTAATCTGACTCAATTTGTTTGGAATATAAAATTAAATTAATTTAAATAACTTTTGACAGAACTCTCTTTTGAAAGGCTTCCCCTTATAAATTCCCCACCAAAGTAAATCACTTCCATTGAATTATTTACGAGACAATTTCATAGGGAGAGCTTCAAAAACCCTCCAGGCAATAATAAAATGTTCTTCACTGTTATAGTCACAATTTGTTCAGGATAATTGGCTGCCTTTTCCCATTGGGGAATAGTGTCGTTTTATATGCTCGATAGGTGCTACTTCTTGCTGAGAAGAGTAGAAGTGCCATTCACATTAGCAAAAACTGTGTCCAAGTTTCCATAAAAATCCTAATTTTTAAAAAATTTACCTTGTGAACCTCACACTCAGGTCTTGCAGTCAGACCAGGAGCAAACTTCATTACTTGTTTGTTAGTTTTTTCAGGGGTAGGACTGGGGAGAAAGGAGAGGAGCCTTAAAATATTTTCATCCGTAAATGAGCAGCTAAGAGACAATGGACTAGATTTGCAATGGATCAACACACAGCAGTTAAAACTGGTGGCTTATTTTGGGAGGCAAAATGAGTGTAGCATGGTGATTTACAGAACTGGCTGGAAAATAGGGGTTTTTTTTCTGTGATTAAGTTTGTCATTTTTGGGGGAGGGGAGCTGAACTGTAATAATGAATATTTTGAGTCTCAGAACCCTTGGTCATGTCTTCTGGGAGCCATACATTGGCTGCGTCATATTCCCATTCTCCTGTAGGCTGGGCTTCCCGTTCAGTTCCCATAGCATATTGTAGTCTCTCATATTAGTTATGGCAAGAGATGTATCCAAATTATGTACACGTACAAAGTGCAGCAGATCCCCTAGGAAAGAGTGAGATGCAGAGATTTAAGGATTCATTTTTTGTTTCTGTTTTTTTTTATTAGTGACTTTCAGTAAGGTTTTGAGTAAGCTTTGGGTACGGCGTTGCAGTATATGTGATGTCTTGTGCATTATATCCTTTTAAAAGAGCTCAGAATACCCCTGATGGAGTAGTTGCATGGAATTTGGGAGCTAATGGATCAGACTTGTGGCTCTATCAGCCTATCACTTGTTAAAACTTATTGGCAGGGCTTAACTGAGCACCTGGGGTAAATAGGAATGTGGGTCCAAGATATAGGGAGAGAAGCTGCAAAAATCAGGCTGCAAAATGTTATAATCTCCCCATAAAATTCATCACTGTCATAAATAAATCTTTGGTTATAGAATGTCAGTGTCCAGCCAGGATATTGAACTGGACAAATCCCTGCTGTAGAGATCAGCAAAAGAATCATTGCAGCATCTCAGTGGAGTGTGATGAATTAAGATCTGTGCTAAAAGCATGATTTAGGACTAAAGGAGAGTAGCTGGGTTTCTCAAGTATCACTTGAAAGTTTCATTTAAGGGCTGTCATCACTGTCAAGTTCACCTGAGCGACTAGTACGCATACGGATGGCTGCCAGACAGCAACAGCTGCTCGAGGATGCAGAGAAAGTTTAAAGCTCCCTCTTTAGGGCAATGTAAAATTATTGTGTTCTTTCAGTCTGAGACATTATTTCCAGTTGATTTCAAACTTAATCAGCAACAAAAGTAAGAAACGGCTTTATTTAAAAACTGCAGTTTATGGTTAACTTCCTATTCATTTTTTATGTGTCAAGGCAGGATTATTATTACCGCCATTGTTATTATGGGTTCTTAAAGAATTCCTGTCGACAGAGAGTAAGCAGCAACATGACTTCAGTATGAACTGTTCAAGTATATTGAGGGCAGTGGACATTTATTCCCCTTGCTAGTCCATACTGAAGGTCAAAGATGCCACTTCTCCTCTAGTATTGGTACTTCAGCGATATAAATTAAAACTATCCCTGTCTCTGTACCTCTGTCTATGCAGCAGTCGCACCTTCACTCGCATAACCTTTTTGTCTGGTCAGACAAAGCTATATTTCATCAAATATTCTTACAGGCTCTAATCCAGGTTCTTTTTTCTTTTTTTAAAGCCATAAATTAGCAAAGCCCTTAAGTAGGCACTTGCATTTAAGCACTTTGCTGAATCAGGGACTAAGAGCTGTGGGACATCTTGAGACTAACCTTAAAACGCCTGGGAATTAGAATTAAAAAATTTTGGATTGGCACTGAAAATCATATCCAGGCTTTGATAAGAACAAGGAATGTGCAAAGCATTTATCTTCCTGTCAGAACCACTTAACATCTACTCTTCTGTAGATACTTCTGCCTCAGAAGAGGTTTTCCTTTTGAAATTTTTCATGAGAGGGCAAATTGAGAAATAGTTGCAGACCCTAATTCCCAAAACGGCCAGGCCAGATGTGCAGTTAGCAGGTGTGGTTGTTGGTCAGTGTTGCATTGATGCATCTTGCCTGTTTGCAAAGTGTAGCTACATAAACAGCAGTTTTCAGACCACTGTCTTCAAGGCCCAGTAATTGTTTGGGCGGCAGTGCTGGACATTTCCAGTGATAGATTGAGGTCCACTCTGGAGGTCTTCAGGAGGGGGGTTCAGCCCTTCCTTAAGATGAGTCTTGAGTAACTAAGAACAGATGGTCACCATGTGTTAGGCAGTCTTTAAGTGAAAAAATTACCATTGTGAAAATATATTCCTGAGCAACCCTGAAGACACAAAGCCATTTCCATCCAGTTTATTTTTTCTTTTTTCCAAATGCCCAGCTACGATTCATCACAGTGAATGTTTAGTCCAGCATTTTACTTAGAATATTTTTTATTAGGAAAACATTTTTTTTCCAGTGGAGGGAGGGGGGAAAAGCTGGCAAATAAATTTCACATCACTCCAGCAGCACGTCCTTTCTCCTGCATATGTCCCTTTTCCTTGAAAATCGTTGCTGTCATACTGATGTTAACATTTGTTAATACTGACACGGGTTATGAAATTGATAAATATCCTGGGTACTGAAGGCACACCATTGTTTTAAAGTGATTCTTTGCTGACACTATTTTAATTTTTCATTGAATGCTGGCATTTTCCCCAGGGGTTTTAAAAATTGCCAAGCTGGTTTTATGGGAATACAGCAGGCTCCTCTATGAAGAATGTCATTTTAGTGTTTATGCGAAAGGAATTAGTGGCTATAAATCTATTTTCCACAAGGTGCATGAGTCTATCCTGCACAAATGAGACTAAAGTTTGGCATGAAATGCTTCCTTTGTCAGTACTAGAAGAGGAACCAAGGATTGAAGCTATCTGTCAAATAGGGTGATATTTTCTTGAAAATTTGCCATTGAATTTTGGGGCTGGGAGTGGGGATTTGAAATTACAAACTTTGAAAAAACATTCAGCCTGGTTCAGAAGAAATTAAATAGCCCTGTGATTTGTCAGCATGGCAGGCCCCTCAAGTTGTTCATGATCTCATTATTAACTATAGTGGGTTAAGCTATGCTGGCTAGCACTACAGAGGAAAGAGACTTGGGAGTCATCATTGACCACAAGATGAAC